CCGGCTTGGACGAGTCGACCTTGGTCTTGGCGTACATGGTCGCATAAATAGAGTACAGCAGGTTGCGGTTGCGGTCGAGCGTCTCCCTATGCATATTATTCCATCAGATTCTCCATGCGCACACAGTGTGAGTGCATACTCGGCCGCCGCAATCTCAAAGATGCGGTGCTGGACCTCGGCGAGCGCCGCGGCCGCAAACTCCTTGGGCGCCTCGGCCTCTTCGTCGGTCGTCTCGGCGTCGGTCGGCGCCGGCTTGGTGTGCTGCGTGTCGAGGAAGAAGTACTCGGCGACGAGCGGTGTGAGGATGAGGTCGTGCACGCGCTTGGCCACGGACTTGTCGGCGTCCGTGCTCATCAAGGTGAAGAAGGGCGCGAGGAGCTGTACAAAGGCGTCGGCGGGAATCGAGTCGCCGACAGCCTTGAAGAGCTCCGAGAGGTAGACATCCGAGACGTGGAGGCGGAGACCGTTGGGCAGCTGCGAGAGAATCGACGTCGCGAGGTGCGACGCAAAGGCTTCGTTGAGCGCAAACTCGGTCGCCTCGAGGAACTTGAAGCTCTGGAAGAGCATCATGCGCACGAGCGTGTAGAACTTGTCGAGGCGCAGGCCGTCAATGCCGTGCCACTCGCGCTGGATCGTCTTGAAGAACGAGTGCACGAAGCGCAGCTTGAGCTCGTCGGACGGGAACGCGTGCACGAGCTTGGACAGGTTGTCGGCGAGCTCCTGCTGGATCTTCATCTTGTCGCTCATCCACATGCCTAGAAGCCATGCGTGAGTGCATCATCTTGGCGAATGCAAGCCGCGTACAGTAGAAGAGCGCCTTCCAGATCTTATCGAGGTCGAGGTCGGTCCACTCCTTCTTGGAGACGAGGAAGAGCGTGAGGCTCTTGACAGCCTTGTCACGCACGTTCTTCTCTAGAGCGCGCATGAGCCCTCGCTCGCATCATGAGCCTACCGGTATGGGCGAGCTTCTGGCCAAACTTGGAGGCCGCCGAGATGTCCATCTTGGGTCGTAGAATGAGAATGAGCTGCTTCGCAACCAATGCTCTGCCGAGCAAATAATTACCACCAATCAACACGCGCGATTTCTATCGACCAATGAAAACGCGCGACAACATCGAGTTTGGACCAATCACAGATCCGTATGCACGGTGGCGTGGCGCGATCTTGACCCACGCGCCGCTACAGTATACAGTACCGACCACGGATTGCCACTGCGCTCATGCCACGCATGCGATGCTGACGAGATAAGCAGCAAGACACGGCAACGGCGTCAGATCTTATTGGAATACCTTTATGACCGAGTCGGCGCCGCCCGTCGCAACGAAGCCGCGCGTCGGGTGGTAGGCCACGTCCTGGACGGCTTCGCCGTACTTGGGGCGGTGCGCCGACTGCTCGTGCACGCACGTGCGCTCGGCGACGCTCCAGAAACGCAGCGATCCGTCGTGGCCGCCGGACGCGAGGTACAAGCCGGATGCATCCATCGAGAGCGACGACACGGCGTCCTGGTGCGCAACCACCGACGCCACGCACTTGCCTACATAACGCCACTGTCACTTGGGCAATTCGAGACGGGCGTACCGGCGCGCAGGTCGTAAAAGCGCAGCCGGCGATCTTGGTGCGCGGCCACGATGATGGGCATCGTCGGGTGGGCCACCACCTACTGGACACTGAGTGCGACGAATCCAATATCGCAGGTGGACCTGGTTGACTTGGGCCTCCCGGAACGCTGTGATGTGCACGTCCGAGTCGGCGGGGCACATGAGCTGCAGCAGCCGCTCCGAGCCAATGTCGTACTGCCCAATCTAGTCGCGCATTTCGTGACTGTCATAGAGGACGCATCGAGTGCAGTACCGTGCACGACGTGTAGCCGGCAACGAGCGTCGCAGCGTTCGTCGGGACGGCCGCGACACAGGTCGGCACGAGGAGCCCGTCTCCGTTGTGGACGTGAACGCCCGCGGGGTGCTGCCGGACCGACGCACCGAGCGTGCACTTGAGCGTCGGCTCTACCTCGTAAATGCGTCGATCGTGGTTTGAAACGAGGCCGTGGACGCACCGGTCGAGATGCCCCAGACGCGCACGCAGGCGTCGGCGCTGGCGCTGAAGAGCAGGTTCGTGTAGGGATGCGCGCTGAGGCTCCAGATCGCGTCGCGGTGCGCCTCCAGTCGGTGCACCATGTAGCCATAGTACTCTACATCTCGCGCGTTAGCGAAAAGTATCAAGGTATCGAGTGCTGCACCTTCGTACGAGTAGGGCTCGGACTTGCTGTCGCGGTCCATGCCGGCTTCGGGGTACGCCAGCAGCGTGATCGTGCCATCCTTCCCGCCCGACGCGATGAGGCCGTTGCGGTAGCCGAGGCCGCTCGAGTGCTCGGGCTTGATGGACGCGACCGAGAGCACGCTGTCCGTGTGCACGCGGAAGGTCGCCATGGCCTCAACCTCCGAGTGCCTAATACGATTCCCATGAGCTGCTGCGGGGGACGAGACGAGTATGGAACGAGAGCGTACTTGGAGGCGAGGTTCCAGATCTTGACGGTCGCGTCCTCGCTGGCCGAGACGAGCAGCGGGTCCGTCGGGTGAAACGTAATCGATCGAATGCCATCGAGATGGCCCGAGAGCTTCTGCTTCATCTTGCACGCGCGGAAGTTGCCCGAGACCTTCGAGCTCGGCAGCACTTCGACAGGCGGCGGGCCCTTGGTCATCGGCGGATTCGACGGCGACGAGGGCACGGATCGGTTCTCGCCCGTGCGCGAGTTGACGCGGGCGCGAGAGATGAGCGTCTCGCCCTCCTTCCCGCGCGTGACCGACACCTCGGGCGACGCAGGCGGACCGCGCGAGATCTCCATGCCCGGGCTGCCACGCGAGATCTCCGAGTCGCTCTTGACGGGCGGGCTCGCGCCGTAGAAGCTGCCGCTGTTGGAGCCGTTGCTGCTTTCTTTTCGGAAGACCGTGCGGCTCTTCGGGCTTCCCGGCGCCTTCTCTGCTTTCGCAAAGGCCGTCATGTAGCGACCACGCTCTTGCTGCAAAGCGAACTCGAGCATCTTGACCTGGAGCAGCAGCTCCTTCGTGTGGTCGTCTTGGATCTTCTTCTGTGCTTGGAGCTCCTGCAGCTGGGCCTGGAAGACCTTGCGCTCTTCGACCCACTGTACGCGCGCCAAGTCCGCGCTCTCAAACTGCTTGGCGATGAACCGCAGCGCTTCCTCGACGCTGTCCATGCTTCCGACCGCGCTGACTGACGCTCAAAATGACCCGATCCGAAAAGATTTCATTGCGCCTCCAGTATAGCATACAAACCGCGAGGTTTCAAATACCTCCGAGACTCGATACCTGTGGGGCCTCGCATTACGACTATTCGCACGCCACCTAGCCCACTCGGCGCCGAGCTGTGGGCGACGCAGGCATCCGGATTGCGGTCCATCGACGCCTGTGCGTCTTCGAATCACAGAGTGCGTTGCATTAATAGCCAATGTTGCAAAGGACGCTCTCGAGCCTCCATCGTCGCCAGCGGGATGGGCCTAGAGTTGCGTGGGTTTAGCACAGCCTCGCCCCGCCTTGTATTTTAGAGCGGCTCGATACATGGACAAGGCTATGTAAAGCAAATACGTGGCGCGACACCCTGCGAGAGATAATACGAGAGACAGAAAGCCACGCGCCGATGGCAAACGCACCAGACGTCGCCGACATGACCAACGACGGCGCAGTCGCCGTGATGCAGCGAGCGCACAAGATACTAGGCGAGGCCAGGGCGATGGTAGGAGTACCAGCAGCTGGTTGCTCGCATGCCTGATGGCGACACTCCGGACGGTTCAAAAGTCCCCTCGCCCTCAGGACGACGCCACTGGCTCATAGAAGCGACATCAATGCACTCCGGGCGTGCCTGTCCGCCGGCCATAGCGGCCCGAATCATGCGCTGAGCGCTCGTGGCGCCAGCACAGCCAGGCCTCGTGGATGCCGAAATTAAATGCCGAATCTAACAACGATTACGTTGTCGGCAAGAAGGCGGTCGTCCATGTCGTCGATAGAGATAGGAGGGCAAGGCAGCGCACCATGTCGGCGGGTAACTAGCCATGCCGCAGCACAAAAGTACAGATCGGAGATCGCCATCGCAGGCACGTGCACTCTGCGACGCAGATGGCATTCTCCATGTCACACTATTTTGGTGTGCCGAATTTTGGCGTCGTGCCGAGAATAATCGCGTCGTCCAGGCGACTGGCAGCATGTTCGAGCGGCAGGTCACGGGCCTCCTCACGCAGCTGCTGGGCAACTACGTCGAGCCACGAAGCTTCCGCCATGACAAGGTGAACGTTGGCGTCTGGAGCGGCTACGTCGTGCTGCAGGACCTCGAGCTGCAGCCCAAGACGTACGCCGACGTCGCGGTCGTTCGCGGCGTGCTTGGCAGCGTCACGATCAAGATTCCGTGGAACCGCCTTGTCTCGGACTCGGTGCTTGTGACCATCGACGACGTCTACATCTTGCTGCGCCACGTCGAACGCAGCGACCTCGTACCGCCGTCGCCAGACGTCGAGGCGCGCGTCAAACAGGCGCTGATTGACGAGCTCTACCGCGCCAAGCTCGACACCGCGGTCTCGTCCGATGGCTTTGCGGCGCGCTTACGCAACAAGATCCTCGACAACCTCGAGTTCCATGTGCGGCGCATCCACGTTCGACTCGAAGATGCCAGCAGCGGCGACCATCCGTTCGCAGTCGGCCTCACGATGGAGTCGCTGCACGTGCAGTCGACGGACGCGCAATGGCAGCCAACGTACGTCGCATCGACCGAGCCTTTCATCTACAAGAGCGTCGAGCTCAACCACCTCAGCGCGTACCTCAATCCCGACGGGCCGCTCGTAGCCGACGCTGCATCATGCTCGCTCGAGACCTTCACCGCGTCCTTTGGTGCGTCCATCCCCAAGCGCATGAACGACAGCGTCGCATCGTCGCATCATTTCATCTTGAAGCCCGTCGACGCCTCGGCGCACCTCAAGGTCAAGCGAGACGTGACCGACCCGACGACTCCCAGCATGGACATCCACGTTCTGATCGACCACGTGGCGCTGCAGCTCGAAGAGGCGCAGTACTGCGACTTGCTCTTCCTCCTCTCGGCGCTCAAGATGCCGCAGCAAGCGCGCAAGTACCAGGCGCACCTCGCGTTACGCCCGAATGCCAAGCACAACCCGCGCGGCTGGTGGCGCTACGCGATCGCGTGTGTCCGCAGCGACGTCCGCGCCAAGCACGAGCGCTGGAGCTGGCTCTACGTCGCCGACCGACGCGCCGACCGCATCGCGTACATGACGCACTGGCGTCACCTCCAGTCGCTTGTGCCGGCCGAAGAGGAGCTCAAGATCACGGACGACCGGCGCGAGCTCACGGCCGCGCTGGGTGCGATCGAAGCGAGACGGTCGGTCGAGGACATCTTGCTGTTTCGCTTCATGGCCGACCAGGAGCTCAAGAAGATCGAGGCGCCGACATCGGCGGCACCCGCTACGGCCTCGAGCTACAGTCTAACGAGTTTGTACAGGCAGCTCGGCTGGTCCGACGCGCCTAAACCGACGGAAGACCGCGCCGAGCAGCTGGAACTGTACCGGATTCTGGGCTACGACCCGGACGCCGCCGAGAAGGACAAGGTCAGCGCGACGGAGTTTACGGTGTTTTCGATCGAGCTCGGGCACGGCGCCGTGACGCTCTTAAACGACCCCGAGACGAAAGCGTTCCGCCAGCGTGCGTCGTACGGCAGCGTGTATGCGCCGAGCCCGTTCTTTGGCATCTTTTTTGCGCAGCTGCAGATGGACGTGGTGGCCCACAACGGCACGAACGTCGACATTTCGCTGCAGTCGGTCGAGCTCTACGACGAGGCGTCGCCCGAGCTCTACCAGCTGCTCAAGCGACGCCTGCCCATGTCGTCGCTCAACGTCGAAATCACGGTCAAGACACCTGTCTTTCGCATGGGCTACCACGCGCAGGACGAGCTCCAAACGCTCAAACTCGTGCTCGAACCGCTCGAGATCATCTACTCGCCGACCGCGCTCTGCTGGGCACACTGGGCCACGTTCTTGCAGGCGCCCGAGGCGCTCGGGCTCTGGGCCGAACTCGAAGTGCACGCACTCAACGACCTCGTCAACTTGAAAGCGCGAACAGACGCCAAACTCGCATACGCGATGGCCCACCGCGTGCCCATGATGCTCGACGTCCGCGTGCAAGCGCCCGTGATCGTCGTGCCGGACTCTGACGCCGATCTCCAGTGCGCGCGCCTCGTGCTCGATCTCGGCCATGTGCACTTTCGCACCGAGCGCCTCAGCACGCTCGAAGATGGACCCAAAGCGTCGCCGTCGCTGGTCGCGAGCAACGCCTTTGCCAAGCAGCTGCTCGACGAGGCCGAGTCGGGCGAAGGCGCGACGCGCTGGAAGGAAGAGTTTTACGACAAGTTTGCGCTCACGATGAGCAATCTGCACCTCATGCTGCTGCCGCCGTCGGTCGCGTACTCGCCCGAGATGCTCTTGGCATCGACCACGACGCCGTACAGCATCATTGATCCGTTCCATATCAACGTGACGGTGCGCAAGTCGGTGCTGCCGCTGGACGCGACCTTGTACCGACTGTACGTGCATGCGGACTTGCCAGCGCTCTCGATCCACGTCTCGATTCCGTCGTACACGCTCTTGACCAAGGTCCTCCATCGCTTCCAACGCTCCAACGCGGGGCCGGCGATGCAACGCGACGTCCCACCGCCGCCGCATTCGGTCCTCGCCGCACGTCTTCACGAGGCCAGTGGTCGCAACGACGAGACTGAGAGTGTCCAGAGCGACGACACGTGGTTTAGCGTCGAGTACGGGAGCGAGAAGGAAGCGGTGGCGCCTCCGTCGTCGTCGCACCGGCCGGCGCCGCGTCCGGCCAAGCCGTCGCTGCTCCTCGACCGCCGTATTTGCGTCTGCACGTTCACCGTGCCGCTCGTGCACATCAACCTTGTCAAGGGCGATGACGACGTCGACGACGACGAGTTTGGCCACGACAGCGCGGGGCAGGGCCGGCTCACGTTCGTGCTCGAAGGCATCAAGCTCCGATTGGCCAAACGGACGCTCTCGACTGCGCTGCGGCTCAAGCTCGCGAGCGTGAGCGTCGAAGACCACACGGAGAACCTCCCGACGCAGTTTCTCGCGTTCTCGTGCGCGACGCCGCTCAACGTGCCGTACACGGCGTCGGCGCCCCGGGCCGCCAAGCCCAAGCACTTTCTACGCAAGCGCAGTGCAGCGCACTTGGCACTGCTGGACCAACACCCGCTGCGGGACCTCCTCGACGTCTCGGTGGCCATCGACGAGAACGCGCCGATGCATGTCGACGTCGTCTTTGGGCATTTCCACGTGCATTTTGACCAATCGCGGCTCGCGTCGATCGTGCTGCACGTGCTGCCGCTCTTCCAGACGCCTTCGATCGCCGACGACGCGGCCGACACGATGCTGTACCCGCCGCCGCTGAGTCTCCTCGGCCATTACGAGCCGCTGACCGAGTCGGTGCGGCAGGACCTCGAGCGGGCGCGCGTGCACTTGGCTGTCGACGCGCCGTCGTCGCCGCCGCGTCCGATGCGATTGACGTTGCAGCTGCACTCGGTGTCGGTGTGCTTTAGCGATCCGCTCGAACACCTCCTCTCGATCGCGGTCTTGGACGTGTATGTCGAGTATGGGAATGCCGGCGGTCCGCGCCTCGACGGACGCATGGGCAACCTCAAGGTCCTCGACTTGCTCTCGCACGACCTCAAGCACGTCAAGAAGAAGGACAAGCGGTACGTTTACCAAGAAGTGCTCGGGAAGGTCCCGGTCGCCGACGAGAGCGACGCGCCGCTGGTCACGTGGCAGCTCCAGGATGGAGCGATATCCCTGGACGTGGCCAAGCTCCGGGCGGTCGTCTCGACGCGCTTCGTGCTCAAAGCCTTGCACTACGTCGGCGACGGGCCGCTCATGGACATTTTCTCCACGAGTTCGCCGGCGCCCAAGAGGCGGCAGCGCGACGTCTTCTTCTCGCCCGCGCTCACCTACCGCGACATGGCGCCGAGGGACGAGACACCTAGTGCGCAGTGGAAGGTGCACCTGCGACTGGCGCGGCCGTACATTGTGTTGCCGATGGTCGAAGCGAGCGACGACGAGACGTCGCCGCCGATGCTGCAGTTGGCCCACGGCCTCGTCTTGGACCTTGGCGACATTGATCTCGAGGTCGCGCGCGAAGGCAAGGTCACGACGCTGGCGTATGTGGCCAAGGACATGCATCTGCGCGTCCTCCACGACGATTTCGCGCTGCTGCGGCCGCTGAACGTGCACATCGATGTCGCGGCGTCGTCGCAGCTCAACCTCTCGGTGCGCGTCTCGTCGCTGCATGTGCAGCTCTCGGAGATGCACGCCGCGCTCGTCGCCGAGTGGTACTACCAAGTGTGCTTTCCCATCCTGCGGTACCTAGCCCCGACGACGCCGTCGTCGGCGCCGACACCGACGATCGCTTGGACGTGGCGTGTGACGTGGTCGGCCTCTCGCTCTACAGCGGCGCGAGCGACGACCATGCGATCTTTGATTTGTACCCGCGGGTCGCGCTCGAAGTGGAATGGGTCGCCACCGTGCTGCTCGGACGCGTCGACACGCAGCTCACCATGGCGCCGAACCAGATGCGGCTGTATGTGTCGCTGCAAGACGTGACGCTCCAAGAGGCAACGATCCACCCGAGTTTGCGGCTCGAGTTCACGGGCTCGTCGGCGACCAAGGACGTCAAGGTGCAATCGAAAGCGTGGTTCATCACAGTGGACCCGGCGCTGCTCGTGCGCGTCGGCGACGTGTGTCTGGACGTCGCCGCCAACATCCAGGCGACACTCGGGCGACACTACCACGCCCAGTCGATGCCGCTCGAGTCGACGCTGCTGGACCTCGTCTCGTCGTCGGACATGACGTCCGAGTACCAGTGGACCGAGCGTGGCGGCCGGAGTCGTGCCGATAGCTTTGCGTCGTCGATGTTGTTTGACGCCACCGCCACGACGACGGCGCTCCCGACGCCGGTGGTGGTGCTGCCGCCACCGAATTGGAACGTCCAGGTCGCGATCGAGCTCGTTCAAGTGCGCTTGGGGCAGCTCGCGGTGCAGTGTCGGCTGCAAGCGTCGCGCAACGAGGAGCAGCTGCAGTGCCGCCTCGCGCGGCTCACGTGGCTTCTCTCGCAGAGCACGCTCGTCGAGCCGTTGGATGCGACCTTTGGCTTGTGTGACGCACCACTCGTCGACGCCCGCTCGAACGCGCCGGACGCGATTCCAACCGCCACGCTGCAGCTGACGCCGGTCGTCTTCCGCCTCCACGTCAACGCCTCCACGTCAAGGACCTCGACGCGTTCCAAGAGTCGCTGCTCATGGCGTCGTCGCTGGCCACACGCCTCGGGCAGCGAGCCGCCGATGGACGACGCACCGACGACTGCCGCCGCAAGTGGCATGTGGGCGCAGGCGCGTCTTGAGTTGTCGAGCATGGAGTTTCACTTGACCGAGACGGCGCCGCTGCTCTCATTCCACTTGGTCCCGGGACCGTTCACGCTGCTAAAAACGCCCGACGACACGCAAGTGCAGTGGTCGGTCGATATCGAGATGTGGTACTACAACCGCCGGCTCTTGGCGCGCGAACCGCTCTTGGAGCCGTTTGGCTTGTCGCTCGCAGTGGCCCAACCGCCGAACGCGCCGCTCTCGCTGCGCATCGAGAGCACCCAAGATTTCAAGCTCAACGTTACGTCTGCGCTGCTGGACGCGGTGTCTTTCTGGAACCAAATGGCGCAGCCGTCGGCGCTGGACATGTCGTCGTGCTACCTGCGCAACCAGACAGGACTGCCGCTACGGTACATCACTTAAGTGTCGCACAGCATACTCATGTCTCGATCTGGGTAGGGTATTCGGGACCCAGATTGTCCCGGCGGGCGCCGACGTGCCGCTGCGGTCGGCGCATGGCGGCGCCGTCGCGCAGCTGGCGACGGTGCCGGTCGGTCTCGACGGCTACGTGGCGGTCGCGATTCCGCTGGGCGAGTGCAGCGTGCGCAGCTACCGCTTCCACCCGCTGTACCCGTCGTCGCCGGCGCTCGAGTGCACCGTCGAGATCTCGCTGCAGCAAGGCGTCAAGTGGGTCACGCTCCAGAGCGGCTTTGTGCTCACGAACGCGACGGGCGCCGCGTTGAGCGTCCAGCTCGTGTTTCCAACGAACGGGTTGCTCTTAAGCTCGCCGCACACGACGGTGCTTTCGCCGCACGAGTCGATGGCGGTGCCGCTGCCGCTTGTCGGTGGCCGCGCGACGCAGATGTTTGTGCAGCCGCCGGGGCATCAC